GTGTCTTCGGGGCAGTGCAGAAGTTACTGAATAATGGACATAGCACTTGACGGATTTCCTTTGCTAAACATTGACGAGTTTCCTGCCACCTTGTTCTAAATAAGATATTGGCAGCTCAACAATAAAGTCGGTGTATGCAATGTATACACTGAAGTTGAAATTGTGAATACGCATGTAAATGTAAGGCAGCGTGGTGGAATCAGGCTCTCGTCAATTTTTGGGCATGTAGAGTTGTTGGTATCATCTTAAAGCTTATTCACTTGTCTTTATTTGATTGGAAAAAAATATTCATTTATCTTGAATACAAGTCGAGATATTTGGAAATGAAGGAGATGGGGGTCATCCATTTTCAGAGGTAAAGTTAGTGAGAAATGGCCGCCAAAGTATAGTTATTTCCTGAGCTTAAGAGTCCGTGGTATTACACTTTTTGAGCCTTTAATAGACATTTTTCAGAAAAATCCACACAGAAATGAGTTCTTTAATGGACATGAGAAAGGTGTTGAGTCAAAAAGTAAAATTTTATAAAAGTTGAAAAACCTGCCGAAAAATGAAAATTTCTTCACTTTGATTATTTTGATGAGAGCCTGATTCTACCACGCTGCCTCACAATAAATAGTTTTTACCATATTTTGAAAGATTCTATAAATGTCTGTTCTTGGCATTTACATGACAAAAATTGAGTAGATAAAGGAACTTACTGCTCGTAAAGGCTCTAGTTTTCCCAAAAGTACTCACGGCTTGCTTGTGTCGCAGCCAGGACGGAGAAGAGGACGAGGATTACAGCGGCGTTCATCTTGTCTTGCGTGAGGACTTGATGCAGCGTCAGCAGAGATCTGCTCTTGTGGCTGACTGAAACTGCTCATGGTTTATATTCGAAAAGTGGTCATCCGGTGTTGACATACTTTTTCACCAGAAAATGGAAAGTGGTATTTTTGACACATACATTTTCAACCTGTGAAAGTTTTTGTTGAAAGTGTTTTGCGCCTTTGGTAACTCAGTCTTAATTTCTTTGGAAGTGCGCCGTTTCCACAATGTCTGTTATGGCCAATCATGAGTATGTCGGTACGCCGCGGTAGGGACACGGGGGTACTCAGCAGAAAATCTCCATCATGTTGGAATTAAACTCCCGTTTTTCATCAAAGAACCAACCCACCACCCCGCATTAAATTGCTGATCCAGCAAAAGTAAAGGTCGCAGAGTTACAAAAAATTTTTTTTTAAATAGAAGATATCACAATACATTTTTTTATAGAGTTAGCATCAGAAAGTAGAAGCAGATCGCTTGGAATTAAGGTAGTATAATTCACATTTGCGTAGTAACTGAAAGAATATGGGAATTGAACTCAATTCTTTTGCGTGCATCGACAAGGCGCTTAATCGCTACTTCACAGATACTAGTAGCTGCAATGCCATTGATCTGTCAATTGCAAAAACTCGAGACACGAGATAAATATGACTAAAGCCACTCCTTCCCGGTGTCTGCATCTAATTTTTTTCCAAGTACACGTTAGATAAAATTTGTTGGAGCTAAAAACGAAGCTCATCACCGTGAATCCTTCTTTTTTTTTTAAAGGAAAAGTCCCACGCTTTTTGGATGTTGCAACAAACAGACACGTGTTATTTTTAAAGGGAAACACTCTGTTTCCCAAATTTTCAGCTCTGTAAAGTCAACAAACAAGACAATAACAATAATATGAGCAACCCTGAAGGTCGTCAAACAGCATTCACTTTTTAATTCTGTCTGGTCTGTCTGTCTGTCTGTCTGTCTGTCTGTCTGTCTGTCTGTCTGTCTGTCTGTCTGGATAAATTCACAGGTGTATGGATAAATGCTGATTATGAAAAAAAGATCATTTTTCTTTGTTGGTAAGTGCTTTACGGCGTTCGCAACTGTATAAGGTCATATCAGCGCACGGGATATAACTGACGTGTTAACACTTTTGTTGACGTCACAATCGAATCCGATTTAGTTGGAAACAAGTCCAAACATTAAGTGGAGGAAAAAGAGAGAGGAATTGGGGGGCTTTCTTACTGCTCTTTGACTAATATCAATATCACGAGGTATGGGGTAGAAGTTCAAGTTGTAGAATTGTTATTTCTTCCCGCTAAGGAGTGTTTGCCAGTTTGGTATTTAGTCCGAACATAGAGTGCCACAACAACACAAAAAAAACAACCAATCATACAAAAAACAACATCGATACTGATCTGTAAAAAATTGATAGAAGCCATTGCGCAAAAGTTGGAGAGTTTATGTTCCATAGTTGAGGAAATACTTGACAATCAGTTGCGCCACAATTTTTTGACTTTATTATAGTAGCGTCCTGCAGCCACCCACAATGCTAGGTAGATAGATTGTCCTTCCTCAATATAACGCTGCTGGTCATTAGCGCTATGTATTTAATTCACTACGTACCAATTCCTGAGAAGACCATAATACTTTTGTTGAGACCAAAGCATATCTTTGGCAATCTGCATGTGATTCAAACTGCCCAAAACGGCCATCCATTGTCGAAGAAAAAGGTGGCTGTCTTAGGCAGGTAGCCAGTTTACACAGTGTCATTTTAATGTAAAAAAATGTGGGGTAAATGGGAAATAGCCCTTTATATAGGTAAGTATTTTATACAGGTGGCCAATAGGGCTGGTTAGGATGAACTTAGATGTTTCTTAATTACAGTACATGCCCAACACGTCCCTATCAATATGAACCGACAGATTAAACAAGAGTTTACATCACATTTAATATTTCATTGCCGTAAACATAAAAAACTTCTTTCCAATGTGCTTGAATGAACGTTTTGTTCTGTAGGTTTTCTATACTGAACAAAAGCACTATCAAAATGGACATATCCTTCGTCTCGCTTCATTTGTCTAAACACATGTGTTAGTAGAGGGTTTCAATATGATCAGGAAAGTTCAAGGACGTGTTTGTTGTGTGGCACTTCGCAAAAGAGGCCCCCCTTTTACCTCACATTCGAAAAATATACAAAACCCAAGATGATATCAAACGAAGGGTCTTTGCTATGAGCATGACTTGTAGCCGGTCGATGGTTCAATTCCTGGTTCAGCCTTTTTCCCCTAAGTTCATTCTGTTGCAAGTGACAACGAGATAGTCAAACAGAGTAATGAGGACGTTATGTCATTCACACCACTGTGTACTAGGAGCTTGTCTTGGTAACACAAAAAGCAACATGACAATTAAATAAATTATACGTAGCTGGCCATACACATCAGTACGCATTATTAAGACCCTCTTTGACAATTTGTCAGACCGTGCAACATCACTTGAACGTTTTTACTGCTTCTTTTTCTGAGCTTTTCCAGTAGTTTAACATCGCTTCTCGGACCTCCCTGCAATGAAACACTCTCTTTTCATTAGGGATACCTGATTTGTTTTGGTTCCAAGCCAGGTTTTTATGTCCGGCTCCCATCTTCTGTTCGGTCTCTCCACCGTCCTCTTTTGCTTCCTACTTCAACTTCCAGGGGAAAAAATGTTTCTGGAGTGAGTCATGTTGTTTGATTTGCTCTAAGCAGCCCAGTTTCAATTTCATGACGTCCTTGAGTAGTGGGGGCGTTTCTATATCTGTTCTTTTTATACTTCTCATTTTAAATATTTAATTCTTCAATTTACCTGCCAGCATCACACATTGTACAACATTTTAACTGCTTAGTGCATGACTCAGACATGCGCCATTTGAAAAACAAAACAAGATGTATGGCGGTTTCGTTAAGCAGTCGATCATTTTTCATTTCTTTAGACGAAGTGGTCCTAATAGATAAAAACCGCCCCCTTCCCCCGGGGGACGCTCCACTCCAGTAGGCACAACTAAGATCGATAAGAAGACAGGGTTAGTTGACTCAACATGCCAAGTACAACCAGGGATACAACACAGCCGATAACACATTCTTCCCTTCTAGGAATCGAACTCAACACCATTAGCATGTAAAATTAAAATCTCTACCAGTACAACACAGACATTGTCACTATTCACTCACCAAACCTTCCACTAAACTCTGACTTTTGCAAGTTTGTTTTGGTGTTTTTTTTACCCAGGTACAGATACAATGATGAGAGAGGGGCATTTTTGTATCCCAGTGTAATTGAATTGTTGGGACACTTGGAGAGAGAACAAAAGAGGAAGAGAGAGACAGATAGAGAGGGAGAGAAAGAGAGAGAGAGGGGGAGAGGGAGAGAAAGAGGGGGATAGATAGATAGATGGAAAGATAGATATATAGATAGATAGATAGATAGATAGATAGATAGATAGATAGA